GCATCCTTTGACCAATCAAAAGCGTAATGCAATGAAATAAACATTTTCGAAATTATCTAACAAATATCACATGCATCCTTTGACCAATCAAAAGCGTTAATGCAATGAAATAAACATTTTCGAAATTATCTAACAAATATTACATGCATACTTTGACCAATCAAAAGCGTTAATGCAATGAAATAAACATTTTCGAAATTATCTAACAAATATCACATGCATCCTTTGACCAATCAAAAGCGTTAATGCAATGAAATAAACATTTTCGAAATTATCTAACAAATATTACATGCATGCTTTGACCAATCAAAAGCGTTAATGCAATGAAATAAACATTTTCGAAATTATCTAACAAATATCACATGCATCCTTTGACCAATCAAAAGCGTTAATGCAATGAAATAAACATGCGTGTACATGCCAGCTCAAATTGACAAAGATATGAATCCAATTCTTACACTAATGCCGGAAGTATAATCCATCTAATATATATCCGCAATATAGTCCTGTATTGAAATTGTTATGATGTAATCAAATTGTGCTTTGTAGTTGTGAACGAGTTGAGTATGTTATTCAATATCGCTTTCTTATTCTATTTTACTACACGGAGCTACAGGACATTACATTAACATAGTTACTGATGTACAATTATTATTTTTTCTGTCAGTCATTGCACTACAAGATTTTCAAGAAATGTAGATTGATCTTTCAAAAGATTTAATTTGTAACACCTGGAAATAACAAACATATACTTATTCCAACTGTGATATGTATAAGAAATATATGTGTAATAATCTAAATACGTAGGTAGTATTACCTAAGGGTTGTTTGTGCAACAGAAACACATAAGTAGTCTAACTAATGTATATAATTGTAGGTAAAGCGTGTAAAGTTAATTGACAATGCCAATGTCTTTGCTTTTTGTAACAGTTTGTTTTTGATTGAAAACATTCAAGGAGCAGTGGACTACACAGACTTACTGCTTGATTTACCAAATACACTGGAATCTGTAACTACATGAATAAGTCAGCCTTGACTTTGGGCAATGACTGCTAATTTAGATTTGGTTGGTATCTCAAGAATAAAATAAAAGTTCATGCTAGATAGATATGTTGAGCGTGAAATGAAACATAGTAATATTTATTCTAAATTTAGCAGCAAGATTTCAGAGTAATTAACACCGTAAATCAGAAATACGGTTTGACACAGGACAGACTGGATGGGCACCAACTAAGAATACGACCAGAGGGCAATACTGACAAATCAACAGATGAAGACGATGGCAATAGAGTATTACTATCCACAGCAGCTTTACCATATGTTACCCAAGACAAAACAACAATTAAAAATTACTACTATAGAATCTCAAAATAGCATGAGGAAATTAAATATTATGCGGATGAAACTATGTGTCATTAATTATTTTAGATAAAGATTAAAAAGGAAATTAAAGGATTTCAAGACAAGAGAGGTAAAAATCAGATCCAATGTTATATGATTTGAATAGTGATGGTAAACATTGTTTGTAGTACAAAAAAATATCATAAGGATAACGGACTTTGATGGTGAGTTTCAGAAATCATATATCAGAAATATGGAAATGTGACATGGTAGAAAGCAATGAGCAAAAACCAAAAATCATAGTCAATATGGTCTTGGGACTAAAATAGAGAAAGATTATTAACGAACAATATAGCTGAAAAGCTTCTTGGCTGGTAGGGTACATCACCACAGTTCGTTAACCCAGAGAAGAACAACACCACACAACCATTAACATGTTATATCATTGGACGCAGTGTTAAACAGAATGTTTCTTCTTGAGACAGACATCATATTTTAGATATTATGACCCAAGTTTAAAGAGTTGAAAAGATGATTAATTAATACCTAAATACTGGCATATAAAGATGAAGAGAGTGACAGTTATAATTAAAAATTAGATGACAGTTTTTGAGCTGCACTCATGATATTGGTACTGATGAGTTCGTCATGCAATGGATAGATAGATGCGTATCAATTGATATATCAGAATGTAGTTATTAAAATTATCCCACCATGAATATTGGTGACATCATCATTCCTCATCATTGTCAAACAAAAGATGGAGTCATTATTAAAAAGAACATGCAATTAAAAGAACACGTGCAAGTCAGCTAATGTTGGCATTCACAAAATTGAGTATGATTTACGGTGTCACTCATATGTAATGTGTAGTTTATATGTTACGTAACTGTGTGTACTATATGTATAACATACATACAAATTATACCTTTATATCTGCGACCAGAAGTAACACAACATATATTATCATTATTGCTTTATAGCTTGTCATCTTTCTGTCATAAAAATGAGAGATGTTCAATAAATTGTTGTTGTAATAAAACCTTATAACAAACTCGTTAAGTCACATGCTTATCTAAGTCACATGCTCTATTTTTTTTTGTCCATTCTTGGATTTCAATGGGGATCTTTTAATCCAGCATATTTATTATTTCTGCTGTAACCAATATCCAATTATTTCAAACATATTATTGTATGATGATATGTGGCTTAGTGTATTATGCCCATAACATCGATAAAATATTATTAAATAGTGGCCAAACATATGTGTAACCATATTTTAACTTAATATCCATTATGTGCACAGTTGATAGTGGACTGTATTTGCAATTGCATATATATGGTGAACTGCGTTTCAACTGTTTCTCATGTATGGAATGCTGGACAATATTACATTCTCTGCAAACAGCGTATAATTGTATATGACTACAATTTTACAGGCGACACCAGATCAATATCTATATAACAATAACTATGCCAAATAATGTTTACCTGGCATATATTTTACAATTTCATTGAATGAATGGTTGGGTTTTCTATTAATTCAAACTATTTCCTGGAATAACAGTTTCTTCAGTGGACAGACATACAACATGTATGTTCAATTCATTTGATTTCTTGTAGTTGTCAATCAATACAAATTGTAGCCGTTAGAGGACGACATACCTAATAATGCATCCGGATAAATAGGAGCGTGTGTATAAATTATTTGAGCCCACTCAACTGATTAAACTCTGACTGATTGGTAGATTGGAACAACCTCTGGTACTCATAACAGAGAAACGGGATTGTTATTGTATGAAGTTGATTGTGATGTCACATGTGACTGAATTTTTTTTGAAATTTGCGCTTCTAGGTTCTTCTTTTTGGAAAGCATTGTGGGACTACCATCTCATGCAAGATTCAGTCTATACCATAAAAGCAATAGCATGCTAACTACGTCGCTACCAGGGTACACCCCAGGAAGTGAATCACGACGGTTGAATGTAGAAAAAGGGTGCATTATATTGCGCACACACAAACACTTATTTGTATATCCAATTAAAGGAGGAATGGGGGATTATAATGGTGTATATTATACATTGCGCTGTCAGCCAGAATAGCTATCATTTCATTTGTTTAATGTGCGTTTGATCGTATTTGTACGTATTCGAAATTTAGTATTGATGTGCATAATACATATTTATATAGTACATTTCAGGAAGGTGAAAAATACGTCTGGGAAGGTGGTGGGGAAATACATGATCAGCAGAGAGCGGATAGAGCATACCAACTACAACTAGTTAGCATGTAAGGGAAGCTGAAGACAGATATAGAACTATAGAGATTAAATAGAAAAAAAACTGGCAAATTCTTCAACCACTTTTCCACTAAAATTCCAAAACTACCAACTGTAAGGATGGAAAATATGTTTTTGACATGTTTTATGTATCAGCATATAACATTTCTTTCATAGTGAACGCAAATCACATTTGACCTTAGCAAAGTGTTCAATTCCAAAATAACACCTTGTATATTAATTAAACATGCAACTATTTCTTTTAAAACTGTCGAGAGGTTCAATTTTTCCTTTTCACCAAGCCTTACAGTGGAAAAGCATACACTTTGTTTTTTGCCCTGAACTGCCTTTACTGATTGCCGATTTAGTGTTGAGATGCGGACACAACTAGCCAATGTGTCGTAATAAGCGTAAAGGCATCTATGGCTCCAAAAATATTGATTACTTTAATCGCACCCGATAAACTCATACATATTTAGTCACCACTGTAAAATCGCTATTTTTATTGTAAATACCAGGAAATATATAAAAACATGTGGGTGTCAAAATTTCGATTTGATGTAGTTATTGAGTTCGTCATAAGCAAACGAGCGCTCACACCATTGGGGTAATCGAAAACAATGGTTCAGTTATCCGGTAATTTGTGCGTGTTTTGTTTGCACGATTTGGTGGAATTGTAAAGCCACGGATAGTCTGTGCGAGGCGTGACCAAACGTCCTGTGACAAGTAACAAGATGTCGGGTCAGGTTTTTGTGCATAGAGAAGCTGCTTATGGGAGGGGCGTCATACAGTCTTCGATGTAATGAGTCTGGAGTAAATTGATGCTACCACAAGTCATACATATTGGACAAATTAAAGTGATCATATATCATTTACACTCTGGAACATCAGCATATCAAATTAAAGTTTTCCATCAGTGATATATTAGTATAAAATGTATATGGAATCGTTTTGTTACACATTGATGCGAATATTTTTAGTAGTCTAGTAATATGAGAAAAAACGGTATGAGTGTTGAAATGAGTAAGCTACATACCAGTCTGGTTCTGCTTGTGATGGCTGCTTCTTCTTTCGTCGTAAGGAAAGGAGTGTGTTAAAATCTATATTTACGGCGAAAATACCAGGAGATATAACAACCTGTGGGTGTTTAACACCGAGTGCTGGAAACATACGCATGCATGTATGCATATCATTAGTATATAATTTCTCCGCCTAGTGATGACGTGTTCATCTTGAAATACTTTGTTTGTTACATGCTCTCATGGTACTTGATAGAAATTTGCAAGTTCCTGAAATCAGCATATGTTTACACTGTTCCATTCTTTTTGTATGGGTTATCACGATGTCAGGGCACATGTTGCAAGTAAATGTTAACACATTTATTAATACGAAAAAGATTGGATCAGTTTCCGGATGTTTTGACTTGTTTTTGTTTTTGCTGGATTCGGGTCTTCTCTACTGGGCTCAATCATACCGCTTGTGACTATGAGTCACAGAGTTGAAAAAATATTTTCATAAATTGGCCTATACATTGTGTGGGCAAAATTTACATAAACAATGTGTAAGTCGTACAGCCCGGCTTATAGAGTATGAATAGTACAATGCCTTTGGGTGGAATGTGATGCCATTATTTTGTAGATGTGTCAATGGGTGCTGCGTTCAGTGTAATTTACTTGATGAGAAATTAGTGTGGCAGTTGTTTATAAAAAAATATCCTTTTTAATGACGTTCACAGCTAATAGTCTTTTATTCCAAAATTGAAACAAGGATTTTACAACTGCCTTATTCTTCATATTTATCTATCCAATCCCAATTTCTAGTCAGGTCAGGCATCTCAGCCTGATTTTGGTGAATATCTGTACGCAGTTTTTAGATTATATTTTTGTTGTAATATCTACATATGCTCATCTACACAGTCTTTGATAGAGTGATACAGTATGTAGTGGATCACATTTAAATATCACGTGAAGCCCTCACATTATTTTAAGTTTACGTCTGAATTGAACAATTCAACAAAAGGTACATATTTAACGAAATACAGCCAGTATAAAGCATTTACATTCTAGAACATAAGATTTATCAAATTACAGTTTTCAATCAGTGACACAGTGATGAAAATCGTATATGCAAGCTTAGGGGTTAAAGAATATGAATCTAAAAAACGATGTGAGTTTTAAAATAAGCAACTTACATCTCAGACTGGTTCTGCTTGTGATGGCTGCTTCTTCTTTCGTCGTAAGGAAAGGAGTGTGTTAAAAACTATATTTACAGCGAAAATATCAGGATATATAAAAAAACCTGGGGGTGTTTAAAACACCCAGGGAGAATATCCGGATATATCAGACTTCTATCATCTAGTTAGTAAGCATATCATTAGTATGTCATTTTCACACCAAGTGATGACGTGTTCATTTTTAATATTTTGTTTGTGACTTGATAGTAACGTGTATTTTCGTGAATTCGTCATTTGAAATTTGCCATTGTTTTTAGTATATATTTTCACTATTCTCGGGTAACTGTTGTGCATGTGAATCTTTGAGGTGATATAAAAACAGTGTGACAGTGATCGGGTAATTCGGCGTGTTTTTGTAATATTGGGTGACACGTTTAATGGGTTCGTTTGTGTTCGGCAAAATCCTACCTTCTGTCACTAATATGTTCGTAGGATCAGCTGCAAAATAGTTTTGGCCAAAAAAGATAGTTGATTTTGTTAATGGTTATATAATCAGTATATAGTAGAAGATGACCACTATCTGTACGCATAGAACAGTTCACGATATAAACCTCGTTATAACGCATTCCACTACTAACACAGTGCTAATAATGCTTCACCTATTTATATCGGTTCATAGAGGCAAAGCAGTGAGTTTAGAATTATTGATAATGGTTTCAATACACGTGTACAGAAAGCCGACACAAATACGACCGATATGTAAATAGTATTCAAAAATTCTGTTGAAATTCACATAATTTATATAAAAGTATAATTACAAATAAATTAACGAGAGACACTGCCAGATTATCATAGAATTTGTTTCTATGTTCGTAAATGTATTTTTAGATTATAATATCTACATATGCTCATCAATATAGTCTTTGATAAAATGAAATAGTATGTAGTAGATTATAGTAAAAATCATATTTTTTAAGTTTACATCTGAATTGAGTAACTCAACAAGAGCTACATATTGATAGAATTGCAACAGCATAAACAATTTGCACTATAAAGCACAATATTCATCAAATTACAGTTTTCTACCAGTGACAGTGATCAAAATATATGCAAGCTTGGAGTTAAGGAATGTGAATCTAAAAAACGATGTGAGTGTTGAAATAAGCTACTTAAATCTTCTTACATCTGAATGCTTCTTCTTTCGTCGTAAAGCAGGGAATATGTTAAAATCTATATTTACGGTGAAAATACCAGAAGACATAAAAACGAGTGCATGTTTAATGCGCATTATATACCCAGCTTTAACAGATATCTATAATCTAGTGTGTAAGTATATCATTAGAAAATATTTTTTTCACCTAGTGATGACGTGTACATTTTTAGTATTGTGTGTGTTACTTGATAATAATGTGTATTTTAAATTTGCCATTGTTTTTAGTATATGCTATCATAATGCTCGAGAACATGCTGTGCGTGTAGACCTTTGAGGTGATATAAAAACAGTGTCACAGTAATCGGGTAATTCAGCGTATTTTTGCAGTTTTAATGTGTTCGTTTGTGCTGGGCAAGATCCTACACTTCCTGTGACTGGAAATCAAAGTGTTGGAAATAATGTTTGTAGGATATGCTGCGGAATATTTCGGCCACAGTCGTTTTAGGACAGTGAGTCAATCAGTTCAGTGAGTACAAGTGGGAGGGGGTGTCGCATGGTGGAGTCAATTGTGGCTATGAAACAAGTCTATCCTTGTATTGTGATTCTTTTCTCCACTGCTTCTTTTTTCAGGAATAATTGTGGCTTGTATATTTGTATACAACTCACAAGCAATAACTGGTGACCCTGGTGTAGTCAGTGTGAACATACAAAAGACGCAATCATGTACTATCGGTTTACGGTTTATTAAGTATAACGGATTAAAGGTCAATATTGTTTAAGTCATATCGCACAATGCTCAAATCTCAGCAGGAATACCAGTCAGATTAGAACCATGTGCGTACAAGTCAATTTGCAATGAGTTAGAGCTTGTACAGTAGAATAGGGCTTACATTCAAGTATAAACAATGTACAAGCGAATCGTTAAAACTGACGCTTTTCCCAAAATTAAATATTGCCAAATTCCCAGCATATGACAAGCCTAATTGGACAAAGTACGTGACTCAATAGAATGACGGTAAAGCAATACAGAAATACAGCAGTTGTATAATAAGTTGATAAATTAAATAAGGGAAGTTCACTCCACAATTTACACAATTATAAGCCTAGAATATGCATAAAATGTGTGACCCTAACGTTGTGTTACTGACCAGTATCATACAACGAATGTCAATGTTTTATAAGCAGAACTTGCAGTTAAACGTGAAGAATTAAAGTTTCATCCACATGTTGACGATTTTCTTGGAGATAAAAAGACAGCAAGTGCCATCAATGTGTTGAACCATGGAGTGCTCTGGTATATTGGTGTCCCTAGTCTCAACACCTTGTGCCACATCAGTCGACATAGACTGATAGTTTATGCACTCGGCCTCTTCCTGAGAGAGGGAACCAATATTCACCAGCTAATTCTTTCTAGCATGATGAAATGTCGACAATAGTTGCCACCTGACCTCTGCGAGACTGACGTGAGATTTCACCACTAACATTTCACTCAGCTACCTTGCCCAACTCATGTTTGCTAATGGAATGACTGTCCCCTCAGGGTATATTATCTGCGACCTCCGTCAAGTCACCAGCCCCAGGAATATTACCAATCAAAAACATCATCATATAATCTGTCTTTACAAGAGCAGTGTAATATGGTACGGTGACATGTACGTCTGCCTCAGGTGCCATCATGATTGAACCATCTACGAGTTACACATTTAGGAGTTGAGCCATTAAACTCTGAGGGCAGTACTAAACTTTGTCCTCAGCAACACCCTCAGTACCTAGCATATTAAAATATGTCACCCGAGCATGCACATCCTCTCCTACTGCCCCGAACATGTGTTAGCATTCCGTACACACATAGCCAACAATAAACAAGCAGACACAATAGTAGCATCTGACTGGGCACATGTACCAGTTGGTGTTTGAACAAATGCTGCAAGAGTCAGTCTCTCTCCAGTTGCAGAATGAGTCGTTTATGATTCACAGGACCACAATGATAACACTTTAACTGTTTATAACCACTCCATGTTCTTCTGTGTCTATGATTTATTTATTGGACGACCAACATTGTTATTTAGACTATTTTTATTAACCTTGGATACACAAATATCCTCAGTCTTTTGGTCAGCATAATCAAGAGCTTCATTTCTGAGGTCCGCGAATTCTCCGACTTTATCTGCAGTCTGGCAGTTGTGTTCCTATAAATATCTGGGATACAGGTACTAAAATATTGTTCACATAGAATTAAATCCATGAATGCATCCAGCATTTACCAATATCCTACATCTCAATCCACTGATTTAAAAAGTGGGTCAATCGTACCAAACACTGTTTGGCATTCTCACATTTACAGGGAGTTTTATGACACAATTTATTATGATACCCTTCCTTAGTCAGACTATGTGCTTTCAAAATGGTTGCCTTCACAATAGACCAATCACGCTTTGGGACTCGGCGCATCATAAACCATCAAGGCACACAACAGCCGACTAAACGCCACACCACTACACGTTTCTCCCATGTGCAGTTTTCGGCATATATTTTAAAACGATTAATATATACATCCATATCATCATTTTCTTTATAAGCAGGGGGTGTTTAAAGCTTGGCCACAAATGGGGATTGTATTGGATGCTCTGCCTCAATTGTAGCCATGTCAAGCTTAGCTACTTCCCATTTTACCTGCATTTAGATCTCGATTGCTTTTCTTGCTTGCCGAGCCAACCGCTCTTCGCGTTGATCAGCTTGCAGCGCAGCAAACTGAGTCTGTAGATATTTATCTAACATATTTATCTTGACAAACAATTTGCTGTACAACTCTCAAAGCAATGATCTGAGAGTGTGAGCCCTCCTTTCATTTGGGTGTTTTAATTTTAATTCCAAACCCAAACAATAAAGATCCACTCCCCTCCCCTGCACTGCGCAAAGCAGCTTTGCATAGAACTCATTTACATATTTGAATATGTTCGAACTACAAAACATTGACGGTTAACAAAGTTATGCGCAAGTCACCTGTTTACTTTAATCACTTTAATAAGACGTTTCATGTTCAGTTTAATTAGATTAAAACATACATGACTTGCGTTAGAAAAGTGCAATCCTTCTAGATGTCAAAGCATTAGTTTCTACTATAAATGACTAACTTTATAAACTTACTAGAACCTGTGTGTTCTATGGCTGTTAGACGCGGAAAATCGAACCCGTTCAAGCCAGAAATAGTATTGAAAGATTCACCAGAATACAAAATGAACGAAAATGTCAGGAAATCCCTTTCAGTGAAATTGGTCTTTAATGTCTCTTTCCCAACTATATACGTTAACAGCACGTTTTTTTCCTCCAAGTTTTAGTGTATCGCGTGCGCCATTTCACTACAATAACATTACCTTGCAAAACATAGTCCGCGATAAAATAGGTCGTATTTACGTTTTTACTGAATTTTGTCATTAATAAATAGTTCGGATGTCTCAAACTTTTTTCCCCACAACTACAGGAAAATGGCCGTGCGTAGTAAGGTGATTGACCACAAGATTTAAGGCTGCATGTGGCAGAGCACAGTCCCTCAACGTTGAGGGACTGTGACAGAGGTACTATTGCGTAAAGCGCAAAGACCTCTGAGAAGGCGATTGAACACTAGACCTATGAAAAGAAGATTGGGTACAGTGGTGCGCGTCTTCAAGCAGCATAGCTCAAGCAGCGTAGCTCCGCCCCGAAGATACATGCATTACCGTTCGGCGTAATTCGATTACGTCATTTATATATTCCTAATAAACGATTTACTAAAATATAAATAGTATTTATAAAAATAAATTTCATGATTTCACAGATTAATTGTTATTCTTGTATTTCGATGGAAGTTGAATGTTTGCCTAGACGTATGTGCATTCAATCACCGCGTGCTGCCTAACTGAGTGTTGGATTATTGGTGAAAATACATACAACCTGTTGCAAGATGAAGTCATGACGTAATACTGATGGCTATAAACTACTAAAAGAATTATCTAATACATGTAGATTCAAAGTTCACTAAAAGTGTACGGGATGTTAAGCTCTACTGTCTGTAGTAGGTGTGTAATGGCCTCCGCTCAGGTTTATCGTATCGGGAATCTGTCACGTTGCTGAAGTTAGATTAGAAAGCAGATGTTATCATCGGAACCACGTTTAATTAAAGCGGGGGAGTCGTCACCTGCGTATGCGTCAGATAGACATAGCGTGTCATTGTTTACAAACAAGCGTCTACCCATGAACCTTTGCGTTTTTAGCGTGTGTTCTTAGGACACGCTTGGGACTCAATTCCCGCGCGTGCGCAGATGACGATCCTCCCGCTTTAACTCTTAATAATATTTTTTTTTTGTCATTTCTTGTATTTCAGTTATTTTATTTTCAATCATATTGTTACTGGTCAAGGTACTTTACCTTGTAGATATGGATTTTTCTTTTAATAAATCATTACGATGATTGATCACATTGCTGGGCAACATCTGTGCGAGAATCCGAGATGATATCCATTACATAACGCTGTCCAGAAAAAAGAAATGACTGTGGGAAACGAGAATGTTGCATGTGTTAGTTATCGAGTCTAGGCATATTCTCGGGCGGACATCCGGGCATTTTCACCGCATGGCAAAAAAATGCTCGACCACTTTAATGTTGAGCAGGAGTCTCCCCTAGCCGTGGTTTCGCGGCGTTTTGGGTGACGGACGAAGCAAAATACCTTCTCGCACTCAAAACGCCGCGAAACCGCGGCTAAAGTCTCCCCATGCAAAATTTCGTGCATCCGCCTCTGGTAATGGTAGGACTTTTATTTTCCAAATGTTTCCACCTATTAACTAGAGTACAGGTTTGACCAGCCTATCTAGTTTGAACAGACAGACTTCTACTGAAGTTTGTTTAACTAGTAGAAACTCCAGGCACACATTGAAGAAAATTAAAATGCGAACACACATTTTGCCCGAAGCTATGGCCAAAAATCAGGTTTTCGGCCGTTGTCATGGAAAGAGTACGACAGAAAATTATTTTCTTTAATACCGTTGACTCGATTTTATCACTCTAATTCTAACGTTTGATCCAATTTTTGTTTTGTAATTCATACAGCTGCTATTTATTTATTCAAAAAGTTAACAAATAAATAAATTAATTAATTAATTAATTACTTTAATTAATATTTAAACTGCAACTGTTAGAGGGGCATCTAGACGTGCCGAAAAGCACGTATTTAGGTATAGAACATTGTAACTGTCGTTTTCCATTTATATAAAAGAATATATAATAATAATAATAATAATAATAATAATAATAATAATAATAATAATAATAATAATAATAATAATAATAATAATAATAATAATAATAATAATAATTATCGTTATTGCGTTCGTATCGCTATTAGGATGTTGACTAAAATGCAATACAGATGTGAATAAAGACAAACAAACAATTACAGTTAAAAAAATACACACAGGAAAACTGACAAGCAAATAAAAGTAGGAAAAAAATAATGGTAAAGTAAATTGGATTGTTTTCCATATTTGTGTTAGTGAATGTTTGGATTACTAATGCATGTACATGACCTTATCTTGAGATAGCTGACTACTAGTATATTTTTTTCATTTTTTTCTCTCTTGTTTTGAAACCGTTCTCTATGTATTTTGCTATTTGTATTATTGTATATGTAATGAAGAATATATAAATAATGAAAAAAAATTTAATTGAAAAGGATATTTATTTATATGAAAAATTTAATGAAAAATGCAGCTCATTCAATTTAATGGGCGACGGTCTTTTCGTTCTATAGGACGTATATTGCTTATAAAGAAAGGCAGCCAGAAAAAATATAGTAAAAGACCATTCTGCTAACGAGCGCCACCAAGTGTTGAGAATGCGGACAATCCTGTAACTGGTTCAAACATCATGGCGGACTGAAATAATTCCTGTCGCTACCGACTGACGCTAAATCAGTTACTAGGCATCTTTATAGAAAACACCGTTACTTCAGCGCACATCACTGCACTATACTGGTTCATAAATATCTGGTAAGTGTCCACGCTTTCTAAATTTCATGCGGAAATTACTCAGTCATTAATAGTTTCATGTATTGACTTGCAAGGTGGACATGTTCTGTAGGGGGTCTGTGGTTCTGCTGCTTTTCAAGGATGCAACGGTGTGGTCGTCACCTTAAACTGTTGTTTTTTATGAAGCTACGTGAATCAATAAATAATTCTGTCTATAACTACGATCTTTTTGTCGAAACTTTGTTCGGATTACACTTGGTATTTTGTTGATCGCTTATTGATTAGGGACCAATCCTTCTGACCTGGTCAGGTCGGCTAGTGTTAGCAGTTTTGTTTACAAACTCAATGTGACATGTTTATGCATGGAGCTCCATACAAGAGTGGAAAGGCATTCTGACACTATAGTAATGATCTAATAGCCGATATTTGCAACAATATTTTTAAAATTCATTGATATATCAACCAATTGGCACATATCGAAAACAAGTGTCATCTAAGTAATTTGGCACGGCGGTCATTTGACGCATGGAATTTGTTAAAACGATTCACCCACAGTCTCTGGAGCTTAAATTTTAGAATGTTCCTATTTTAAGACAATGTTGAAAAAATTGTCATACATAATATTAGTTTGATGGCACTGATAAATAGAGGTATTTTGCTGTCAGCTAAGGACACACTAGAACATTGTGCAAAATCTAAATAATAAAACCATGAATTTAAAACCCAGTAAATATGCTTGAAATGGTAAATCAGTGAAATTTAAACCCAGTGAAAATTAGTCATTTTACAGTACCCGGTATTACCATGGCACTACCAGCTCTTAACACAAGCAGTCCACTTTACCTGGCTACAAACAAATTGTATTAACTTTGAACCCTGGGTTCCATATGTACATGCATGTAAAACAATTTCATAGGTTATGGTAATGCTAATTTTTGCATTCAAGATGTAAAATGTGTAAAGAGTTACTTAGGGCCCCTTGTCCATGACTCTAATCGAAACCTATCCCTCCAGTGCCCCCCCCCCTCCTTCATTTTAATTGTACATGTATATACCCCTCTGTGGGTCACTTATAATTATTTGGAGGGGCAAAATGAATAAGCCATTTTTCGCAGGCTGCGAGATCATGCGTGACTACGGTTTACGAACCTCAGCAGCCAATTGAGTCATGTGATACAGGTCAAGCTTTCAGTTTAATACGATAGCAACCACATTGTCCTACGCGTTGTAAACCTCATCTCGAAACAATATTTTCCCCAATGGCAGTCAAACGGTGCGCTTACGGCGAATGTAAGAGTGATTCTCGCTTTCAATACAAACATTATATGAATGCTG